AGATTAAACCCTTTTACTTTTACGTGGAATCCTATATCAGATTTTTATGTAATACCGCACTTCCTAGTAATTTATTTTGCCATTTTTTTATACTGTAAAATTCTCTTGCCATTATTTAATGGTAGTTTTCTTGATATTAGTCTTATATCTGGCATATTTTTAAACTGTCTATAGAGGATAGAGATTTTTTAGGAATTGGTATTCATACATAGTTTCACTAATGCTTTATTTTTCTTAATTTCTGGTGGTGCGATATTTATAAATTCCGCTAACCATAGTCACGGTGTTGATTGTATCACTCCACTTATTAACTTTATGACACTGTTTAGCTGTATGTCCACCTTTCTTGAGTACACGCTATTTGTCTAGACTGAAGCTGTATTGTGGAACACATTAACGTAATTTTTCTTTACTCAAGGTAGTGAATTCTATCCCATCCCCAACTATTACCAGTAGTGTCGCAGACAGGGAGAATTTTGGGTGTTTAAACCCTCCCCATTATATTTCCACATCTAATAAATGTATTATTTATATTATTGTATATTTCATTAATTCTATTTTCATATTGAGGTATTTATAAAATATTACTATAATATTGAATATTCACAAGCTTACAACTAAACTTTGTTCTTGAATAGTTCAATTGGGTAACAAACATAACGAAAACAGTAAAAAACTAAGTTTAATTTTCGCTTAAACTCTCTACCCTCCTTGCAAAATCCTAACTATGCCACTGGGTACCAGCTAGTTTCTGTATTAAATTCACTGTTATTTTAAGTTTTTTTTGTTGCTTTTATTTATGACGATTATTTCTGGAACTTGTTTGCTCTATTACTATTTATTTATTTAGAGTTGGATGTATTCGATTTTATATATTTTTTAAATTCTCTGAGTGTAATTAATAACACATAATAAATTAAATACTACACTTATATGTTATATATTATGCAAGACTTTTATCCTTTAAAAATAAAATTTGACAACTAGGAAAAGAATTTCGTTATAAAAATAGATACATTTTTAAAAATATAATCTGTATATAACAACGTATTAAAATAAAAAAAAATTAAAAATTAAACTTTACATTGTTATTTAAATAATAATGGGCTAAGCACGCCTGGTGAATCACTCTGTATAATGAATAAAATATATAATATACATTATTATGATAGCTATTTAAATATTTTAATCCGACAATATTAGAAAGTCGTTGAAAACGAAATGATCGCGAAAGCCGTATGAAATATCCATACTCTTAGGTTAAACACGTATTATATATTTTGGTATATAACGCGTATTTATTATACATGTCACACGAGGAATATAACGTTCGCGTTCTGTAAATCGAAATGAAAATAATATGCTCGTCGCACCAGTTCAAATATACCATTATGTGCGATTTATGCGATAACGATGTAAAATAATACTTACTGGGGAAAACAAAAATACCTTAGTGTTTACTATAATATAATATTGCAATGTACGCGAACGTCGAGTGTTAACGACAAGCGTTTTGCAAAACTTAAAAACTGTCGTGGGATCCCCACAGAATATACTATCATGAAAATCCTAGTACATAATATATATATATATATATATTATGTACTTATATCTAAGTATCTAACGTATCATTATATGATTTTCGGGAATAATGACTGCTAAATATAGGTATATATGTCACGATATTATAACTATGATAGTTAAAAATTTATAAGTTTATATTATTAAACTAAATTTCTAAAATAGATACAGAAGAAAATATGACTTAAATTAGTTAAAAAATTGTTGTTTTTTTTAAAATTATTTTCTATAATAATTGAAAATTACGTGTAAACTGTATTGGTTAGGTTGTGGTGTAGTTACTTTAAATTATTCTTTCTAATAAATAATTAATAATTTTATCAAATATTTATCTTACTTGATTCACACTGTGTAGTTAGGTAAAATTATATGTTTGTACATAGAACCTGATAATAAAATACTAAAAAAAATATGTATAATATATTAACTGGTTTATTTTTTATTTTATATCATTGTATAGCAGCGTAAATTTACAAAATAAATTATAAAATACATTTTTCATTTAATAACGGCCATAGGGATATTTAAAAATATGATTTTATGTCTCAATTATTATTATTCAAATTAACTAAATAATTCTAAGTTATTAATGATCACTTAAACTGGTAGATAAGTTAAAAAGTAAAAAAAAAGCTTTTCATCAAGTTAATGCCTCCATTAATAAATTACCGCAAAGATGGATATACTAATTGTAGATGCATTGAGAGTAACAAATAAAAATACGATCATTATTATTTATCATCAATTACAAACATATAACACTATATCTCTGTTAGATGATGTGTATGAATCTAATAACTTATATTCTTATTAGGTACACAAAATGTTTTGTTTTACTCTTTTAATCAATTTACAATATCTAGTTAAAGAGTGTTATTTTATAAAATATAATATCGTGCAAGTATAATTTTATTTTATTTTAGCATCATCGTGTTTTCGTTATATGTATAAATTTTAATTCAGATTATTATTTAGAATACTATGAAATATTGTTTTTTTTAAATCTCGACTGCTTCAACAAGTATACTTACTAATTTATTCCACCTAAATATATATTTTCTGATTTAAATCACTAGAAAACAATCGACCAAATTTATTAAGTATTGTGAGTAGCAGAAACATACTCTATAGCCTACGTTTATATCACACGTCTTAGTATTTCTAAAAATAATATTCAAGTAAAACTAGTTAAGTTGTACCTATGTAAATATATCTTACGTAAAAATAAGCTATGTTCTTCTAGATTGAATAAAATTCTACTTAATTAAGATACAATTTATTAAAGTAATTAACTCTATTTTCGTAATATCAAATAATTACCACAATGTATTTTAATTCTACTATTTTTACCCTAAAATCGATTTGCAATGTAAAGTTCATTCTACTTTTATTAAACTATGTACTAAAATGATTGGTTTTAAATTTAACATATATTCTTCTTAGATACAGTGCCTTGATTTATTATTCAACTTTGCCAAATGTCATGTTATGACTGGCGTATAAAATGATGTAGGTACTCCTATTTTTTATTAATTTCGAATTTTAGATTTTCAAATTTAGCCTGTATTATTTAACTTTTTTCATAACTCTCTAATTTTTTAAAATTTTTGTCATTATATTTAGAGTATCACACGATAAATATAACTATTTGTATAGTTCTTAAGATTTGAAAGTTTATGAGAGCGGCTCTCTAAAATGCTCATCTATTAAGGTGATAACACAAGGTTCTATCGTTCTCTTTATTTTACTTTTAATTGTTTCATTGTCTCATTGTAGTTTGTTAAATTTCTTTGCTGGACATAAATAAAATAAAATATTAAAACCTATCAATTGTTATTAATATAATTATAACAAATTGTTGATAGAAATGTAAACGTAATTAGTTTAAATAATAATTATAGAACCGAAAAATCTCACTAATTATTTTAAATAAAAATGTATGTTTATAATAAGCTTTATTATACATTAAAGTAATATAAATGTGCATATGGACGACAAATAGAAAATTACTTGACATTTTGACTCTTCAAAACTGCCTATCATCAGACGTATCACAATGAATTATCTTTTAATAATCGCTTAAATAGCTTTCTAACTGGAAATTCTATTAAAGCACTCAAATTAATTATTTTCGATATAACGTTTGTTGCTTAGTTATATTAGCGACCTTAAAAATAAACGAATATGAACACGGATTAAAAGATAATACTACTATTAAGTCGAAAAACGATGTATACTATAGTTTATACAGATGTAATAGAAATAACCTACATTTTTAGATTGGTTGAAAAAAATAATTTTTAAAAAACACTTAATAGTTAATACAATATTTTAATGCTTTAAACAATTTCTGTACAATATTATGTAGTTTTAATTTCTATATTTGATTTTAAAAAGTGTTATTTTATTTTAACTACAATTTTTGTAAATAAATTGTATACATAAACGTTAATAGATATTGAAATAATGAATTTTATTCGATAAAAGAATCCCTCAGTATATGATGTATACAGAATACATATGTATATAGAATGTTCATAAATCGAAAGTATTTAAAACTTATATACGAGTGTCGAGAAGTATTATCTAGCGTGCGAGTGTGTCTGGAAATATTGTACAGAGTAATAAGGTCAAGAAAAACATATTTAACTAGAAATAAAGTGTGCGTATTATTAATTATATTGTCATTATATCTGAAGTGCTCCATTTATAGTATTTTTATCGAATTATGCGAATAAAAAATAAGAAAAATAATGGAATAATATATTATGAGAGCGAAAAGAAATAAACTTAAAAATATATATTTTGAATTCGGGATGAATGACTGTAAACCTATCAGTTATTGAATGCATCTGCGTCTTTTCTTGTTTACTACAAGTTATATTATTATATGCTTAGTAGTGGTTTTGGGGGAAGTGGTATTTTATAGGTCGTTGCGCTTATAAACTTTGTAAGTTATAAGTAGGTAATAACTATATTATTAATACTCACAATTGATTGGATGATAAGTGTAATAATAAAACACAGTCATGATACCTAATTAATAAATAATAATTATACGCAAATAATCATTATGAGTTTTAATAATTATAAACGTTAATAATAATTATTGTTTTTAGACATAGTTCAACTAACCTGTTATAAGCATAATATCATTATAAAATTTTAAACATAAGTTTCGTATAATACAAAAATATACTGTTGCTATAATGAGAGGTTTTCAAAAAATAAAAAATAAATAAATGTATATTGTACATATTGTTATTTAAATTTTTCTGAAATCGGCATTTTCGGATGGGATAACTGTGTTCGGCTTCTGGTCATTTCACGGTGTGCCAAAAATCACCGGATTTCCGGTTAATAAAAGATGTTAATAAAAATATAAATAGTAAACCGGTGCTTTTATGCTTTGCTTTCAGTGTGATTCCAGAGCCGGTTAGTTCTCCCTACATGCGTGTGCTGCAACACTTCCGTTACTATTGTCGACGACGACAGAACTGCAATGGCAGTCGTCCGAATGGCCACGGAACGGTTTTTTGCCACCCACGACGCCAACAACAACATTAAGAATTATAATATCACCGTTTTCCTGTGTATTGCAATAATTGTCTTGCATTCAGGTGAGTCCACTAGCAATTCAATAAATCGCACGTATCATTTTTATAACTATAACTATATCAGTTTTAAATCTCAAAAACATTGAACGATAGTAGTAGTGGTAATCGTGAAAATACTAGTTCTAAAAATGATCTAACTTATTAATGTTCATAAAACTGAAATATTTGTATTTAGGTACTTAAAACTTTTTTTGATCGATAATTTTATAATTATTGTTATACTTTGAAGTAAATGTTTTCACAAATTTGCGTTTAAAATGCATTGTATGTTTTGATATGAACACAATATTTAAGTGATAAATCTCAAATATCATAGAAATTTAACTTTTAACTCCCGTTTTAATTGGATCCATTTTTCAAAAATAAATATTATTTTTTTTTTTATTGAAGTATTTTATTTTAATATTTTCTATTATTAAATAATAAGTATAATTTAAATCTATATTTAATATTTAGAGAAAAAAGTGTTTAATTTAAAAATAATGAATGTTTAAAGAATTTTCAAAGTTCAGAATGTGTTGTGTACCTTATATTATAATGTCTTAAAAATGAAATTATGGAGTGTGTAATCAATGTTTACTTAACAAATAATAGTATGGAGATCTAAAAAACAAAGCGATCACTGCAGAATTTAGCCGGGTCTATTTAAATTCACCCAAGTGACTATAACGTTACACAACTATGATATACATAATTTCAATAAATTATAATTTGTTAGCAACGATTTTTTTCTTTGATCATTGTATTAAAATTTGATTGTGAAAATGCATAGCATATTTATAATGATGAATATATAAACCTATTTAAAAGCTTTATAAGTACTTTTTATATAGTATGACAATGCCCGATGTGAATTTGATAATTATTATCACATCAAACGTTTGTAAAAATTATGTTCGTAGATCAATTTTAGATTATTATTTTTAATACGAAATTTAAAGCATATAGATCTACAAAATATATTTGCAATGCTATAAAAAATATATTCTATTTCAATATTTTGTCAATATCATATAATTACGATCTGAATAAAATTAGAAATTTTAAGGAATATCATACGCAGTAATATTTAGTAATGTTACACAAAATAAACAGATCGATAAAATTATAATGATGGCTATATAACTGTAGTGAGCTATAACATGCAATGATCGAGATACATTATAAATTTATAATAAATACTTACACCGGGGATGAACGCGCATAAACTAGAAAGTTTAACCTACACGTGTTTTCGTGTTTAATGCATACAGAAGTTTGTCGGAAGGCCATTGTTATGTGCATAATATTATTAGGTTGTTATTCAACTTTTCAACGACGCGCCTCAGAAGCACAGCACACTGAACCCTAATTATAGAAGAATGTACACTAATAATTTACATTATACATAAATGATAAATTTAAGTTGATATATATTTTTTTTTATTAGAAACCTTCACGTCAAAGAATTGTCTCAAAAAAAAAAAAAAAAAACAAGAGTAGGTGTACATACCTATTTTATTATTATATGCTTCACTCGTTTAAGAAATATAATATTACAATAAACATTCATAATATTATATAGGTAATATAAGATATTACCATGTTCAAAATGGATCACCCAGTATGCTAACCTCAATTTTTCTTTTAACTACCTACGCATCTATTAAAATTCTGGTTTTTGAAGGATTTGAATTATATTTAAAAACCATTTTTTTCAAATAATTTCTCATATTATCACACCATTTAAAGAGTGTATCATGTAATGAATCAGAATATTTTTTTTTTCAAATAAGCATTGCCTATTTTTACTGTTTTATTGATTTTTTTTTTTATTAGTTTTTATATGTATAATTTGAAATTTAAACAAGTTGGTTTTTTAATTATTAACCTTTGCACTTCAAAGATAGCTTATATCTAACAACAAAAGATTTAAATATAAGGAGGTTATGCTCATTTGAAAATTATAGTTATTGATATTAATATTTAATAATTTTTAATATAATATAATATTGTCATTGAAGTGCGTACAATAATTTTTAAATATATAACAGTTGTCACTTTAACCAAACTATAACAAAAATGTTATCTACTCGTAGTATTTTCTTAACGATTTTGATTAACAACCAAAACCATATAAGTAATTTAATGTTTATTACGTGCAGAAAAAAAATATCAATTTTTTATAATATACGTAAATTGTAAAGTTATCATTAAGAATTTTTATCTTTTTTATATATTATAATAAAGTTTAATAACCAAGATTTTTTGGGTACATCCACATTCTATGAAAACTTGTCTATTAAGAGAAAATGAGTGATTCTATTTAAAAAAAAAGTATTTCACCGTAGGAAACTCCTTATATAATAAGATTAACAAATCTAAATATCTGAAAAAATGATTTTTAAATATACGAAAAATTACAAAATCAACATCATATAATTTGAATATATGCATATAATTATTAGATAAAAGAGAGGTGACTGTTATTGTATGTTTATGTGTAAATTTTTTATTATTGGTAGCCAAGTAATGTTAAAATATTTTTATGTACGACTATATAATACATTCAGGGTGTCAAATCATTGTTTAATATAATTTTAAAAGTTTCGATTCTTTGTAATTAATTTTCTTTCATGATAATAAATAAATATCATATGTTTTATCGTGATAGTTGATCACTGATTAACATAATAATATTATGTTATGTTATTTGACTCTTGCTGAATGCTGACATTATAACTGTTACTTAATTTGTGAATTAAAAAAATAAAAATTGATATAAGGGTTTCTTGATTTAAACTAAAACTATTTATTTTATGTATTAATAACTTTCAATGTTTTTGATTTCAGTTTTAATATTGTATTTATGCTCAATGGTAGAACTTTTTTGTACTTTAAATATAAAAGGACCTATATAATTATATTTTATAAGTATTTAAAGTTTTTTTTTTATAAAAGTTGAGTTCCAACATAGTTGAGAGAATGTTTTTATAACTTGTACAGCTCTACTCTGTACTTAGATTTTCTAACACTTACCTCTAATAAGCTATATTAGTTAAATATTTAATATTAAAAGTATTTCATTAAAAATTATCTTTAGATGTATGAAATTAAGAATTGTAGTGATAAAAAGTATGTACAATAATTAACTCTCTCTACGATCTTGTAAATGATGATCTTATAATGTCAGACACATAAAACAAAGGAAACTCTGTTATAATACCTAATATCAATACATTATTCGTTCTGCTTAGAAGATAAAATACATGTTTTTTACTATTAATCTTATATAAGATACTTATATTTTTATAAAACATATTGTATTAAATAGTTATTATTTAAAAAATTGTTTTATTTTAAATGTATTATTATTTACTTTCAACCAAGTAAATTTAATATTTTAGTATATATTTAATAAGAATCAAGTATAGATGCAAAGGGAGAGACTAAGTGAAACATGATAAACTTATTTGAAGGGGCTTAAGCATAATTTCTATACAATATAAGAATATAAATGACAAAATTGAAACAGAAACGACGAAAGAGACACTAAATGAGGAAAAAAAAGACGTTTTAAAATACCCGAGAATACCCTCAATATTTCACGTGGTATCTGAAATAGTTTTCTTCCGTTAATGATAACGTTATACTGCTTAGCGTGCCATTCCAGTAAAGTGTCGGGCTTTAACAAAATTATTATACACCCGGCCAGTGATTTATAATTAAACTTAAAACTACGTCACCGAGCTAAATCATATTTACTTCTGTTTTGCATTTAATATTACTCTGTTGGCGTGTATTGTAATTGTTATGCAGCAGAAGAAGATAAAGAGCTTAACATATTATACATAATATGTCGTTTTTATACTCATCGGTTTCTCGTTTGTTAACTGAATACGCTCGATATTGGTTTAAATCCTTCACGTGTTCGTACATAATAATACATAGCATTATCTGCAGAAATGATTATTTTCATAAACATGATTCACGATATAGTTATATACTCGATTTCAACATCAAAAATGTTCCGTTTTGTTGACATGATTATTGTAATTTACTGGGTAAATGAGTACTGTTGTTAAGATAATTTATAAAAATATTGAATGAACATCTCGTCACTACTTGTCAATCGCGATCACGATTTATCACCATTTTAACATGATGCACCTATTATACTTTACAGTGTGGAACTACAAACTAGGAATCAGTATGTATGTTTTGGTTCTATGTTTTAGATTCTGATCAGAGCGATTTTATTTTTTAGTATAAGGCGTGATCCAGTATGGTTGTATTATAGTAAAACTCATGTCTACGTCCGTTATTGTAACCAAGCAGTTGACAAAAGAGATTTGAGACGTCATAATATATTATTGTATGGAGAGTAGTGTCCGTTCTTAGTATTTTAAGGATTTGCACGCATAAAAAGTGATTTAAGAAAATAAATAAATAAACCTCACATTTTGTGGTATTTTTGAACTTTTTGTGTGAATTATTATATGAGATTAAATAAAAATTTTAAATAAATAAAACTGAAATACTTTTATTGGACGGTTTTTTCCCTCAAGATACTCAAGCCATTGCACTTAATTTAAGAAAAAAATAAACATACATTATACATATTATGCTTATTGTACATTTTTTTTTTTAGTATAGATTGTATAACATCCTAACATCCTAGATGAAAAAAAAAAATAAATAAAATATAGTGAAGAGTTGTAATAGTTTTTAAAAATAGAAACTAATTTTTTTGATTATTGCTGTAAAATATATTTTAACAATTTAATAACTAAGTTAGTTGTAGGTATAAATTGTTTAAAAATTTGTAGTTTTGCTTTGTGCATAAAATCTTAACTTAAGTTTCAAAAAGCTAGAGATAATACATATTTTCTAACAAAAATGTATTGAAATTAATCTTAAGAATATAATTTAGGCTTTCATATTATTATTTTTTTTTTTTTTGAAGATAAACATAATATCTACTAAACAAAAATAATCGTATTCAAAATAAATTGTGTTTTCTC